TCGTCCTTCCTCCTCCTCCCTCGTCGTCGTCGTCGTCGTCCGTCGTCGGCGTCTCGTCGTCGTCCCTCCTATTTCGTCGCCGTCGTCGTCGTCGTCATTGTCGTCGTCGTCGTCTTCCCTCCTCCCTCGTCGTTGTCGTCGTCGGCGTCGCCGTCCTTCCTCCTTCTTCGTCGTTCGCGTCGTCGCCGCCCTCCCTCCTCCCTCGTCGTTGTCGTCATTGTCGTCGTTGTCGCCGTCGTCGTCCTTCCTCCTCCCTCGTCGTCGCCTTCGTTGGCGTCGTCGTCGTCGTCTTCGTCGTCGTCGGCGTCGGCGTCGTTGTCGTCGTCGAAGTCGTCGGAGACGTCGTCGGTGTCGTCGTAGTCGTTGTCGCCGGTGTCGTCGTAGTCGGTCTTTTGAGGTTTTGCAAACCAAGTTGCGGGTGGGTGGGTGCGATGTTTGCGCGAGCAGTGGAGATGACGACTTCAAGTTCTGCAGAGTGGGTTGCACCACATAGATTGCACAACGTAGATTGCTAGAAACACACAGTTTGAGAGTCCTCGTTGGATCACGTATACATGCACGCATCGTGTCTAGCTATATAAATAGGTATAAGATTAGTTATCCGCACGCACATCCATCTCTGCAAGAGGTCGTTGTGTGGACGCTGTGAAGGGGGGGGGCGGGCTCGAACCAGGGGGCTGAATTACAAGGGGGGGGCTTGGAGCCGGGCCCCCCCTCTTCCCCTCTAGGGTGGGGCTCGTGGTTCGAAACGGGCGGCTGGGGGGGGGGCGGGGGCTGAATTGCAAAGGGGGGGCCTTCGAACCTTCCCCCACCTGTCCCCGTTCTCCCTCCCCAGTGGCAACTGACGCTGGCGAGCGCCAGCGCTGGCGCCGGCGCCTTCGGGCAGCGACGACGACGACGACGAGCGAGCCTTAGTAGAATGCTATTCGTGCTGGTTCGAGCTTGAATGAGGCTTTACTTTCTAGCTGGATCGGGCCTAGGTAAGATTCAGTGACAGCATGATCTGGCTATCGTCGGATGTGTTCGAGCTGGGTCGAGCCTTCGTAGGATTCAGCTGGGTCTGGAACCATCTACAGTTGGATCATATCAGAGCTGGAACGAACCCGACTAAGATGCTGTATTAAAAAGCGCATCCAGCTGTAGCAGGGTTCAATTCGAACTGGATCGGGCCTCGGTAGGGTCCAAATTTAGCTGGATCCATACATTGTGGATTCTACCACGAGTTGGACCGAGCCCGACGAGGAACGTTCGGATTTCATAACAGCGTGACCGAGTACTAATCGGATTCAATTCTAGACGCTTTACGTAAACCCACCAGCCCAGCCAGAAACGATGCCCAGACGAGTTGCCTTGATCAGGGATGCGGAGGAGCATGCAGTATAATAAAGGGCTGGGTTAATCGTCGTACTTCAAGAGGGGGAGGATGGAGGAGGAATCGGAGGAGCAGGAGAGGAGGAGGGGGGGGATGAGGAGGAGGAGGGAGAAGGGAGAAGGGAAGAGGGGGGAGGATCAGGAAGATGAGGAAGAGGAGGAGGAAGAGGAGGAGGAGGATGAGAAGGAGGAGTGCGAACAGGAAGTCCTGGGCCATCTTGGAGGAGTTCGATCAGAGAAGGGAATTACGCCTACCCCCCCAGAAGGCCAAAATTGATCCCAAACCGTAGAAATATCAATGACTTTGGCCTTCTTGCCGAGGCCATCGACGCTCCAACGACCTGGGAAGCCTTGCCTCTGGGTCTAGGTGGAGGGGGTGCGAGGGAGGGGTAAAACCTCCCCCGAAAGGGAAGAAGGGGGCGGAACAGGAAACTTCCCCAACGACTCACACCCGAAAGGGCTGGTGGGATTAGGGGGAAGGCCCCCCCCCCCACCCAGTTCGACCCCCACCCTTGGACAGACCCCCCCCCCCTCCCCCCCCGTTCGAGCCCCCGAGACCCCCATCCCAGTTAGAGAGGCCAGTGTCTGGGGGCAGGGGCCCACCCCGTTCCTGCCGGCGCTTCAAATACATGTTTAGCTCCCCCCCCCTTTCCGGCGTGTCCATAGATTCTCTCCATGCAGCCATCCACGAGTTGCGTTCTCTCCTTCGTGCATGTGCACATGCATGCCGTTCTGCGCGTCAGCGGCTCGCCGTGCACCGGCGCGGCCCAGAGCTTCACTGGCAAAATGGGCAGGTGCTTGCAGGACTCGAGGAAGACTGTGCCCGTGCATCTCTTCTTGCAGCACTGCTGCTTATTGCTTGTGTCTACGGCAGCGATCTCGGTGCTCCTCTGTCCCTCCAGAGGTGCCCGCCGCTCGCCGGCAGGAGCTGCTGCGCGCGCTGCAGCGCCAGGCCGGCGCGGGCGGCGGCGCGGAGCTGAGGGGCTGGAACCACTTGCCGGCCACGGCGCGCCACTGGGGCAGCGTCGCGGTGCCAGCGCCGGCGCCGCCGCGGGGCGACGGGGCGGAGGGCTCCGAGGCGGGCGTGCGCGCGCTGCTGCAGGCCCTGCCGCCGTGGCAGCTGGAGGCGGACTACGGGGAGGAGAGGCCCTGCGCGATTTGCCACGCCAGCATGAACCAGGGCGACGTGGTGTGCCGCCTGCCCTGCCGTCACGTGTACCACGTGGGCTGCATCGACAGGTGGCTCCGCGTGCGCGCCACGTGCCCGATGGACAACCTGGAGATCGGGCCGATGCTGGGGGCGTGATCTCCACAGGAGGTGCGATGGGCGCTGGACACAAGG